TTCTCTCCTATTATTCTGGTCTGGCTTAGCCCGTCCCAAATCTGATTCTTCTAGATGGGCTGAGATTACACCTCCCAGCACTCCCTGTAAATTTCCCAAAGTCATTGGGTACGTGAGGGTGACGCTCAAGCCAACCTTATTTCATTATCACTAAATGCCAGAGTTTCAATCTACTTGTCAGTCAACCCCAGGAGGCTGTTGGTTGTGCAGTTGGGGCAATCAGGTATAAGTGCTGCATGTAATCAGAAAGAAGTGCTTCATATCACAATTGAGAAATGGACACAAACATCTGAATTTAAAAATGGTTGATCCCTAATTGTACACATATAATAATCCCAGGACATGTTGGGACACCAAATTGTAAAAAGTTGGTTTAGCTCATATTAGCCAGAAAGGTGTTTTCCCAAGGAAGTAGGATAAGAAATTATTGTAACTGAGGTGTGATACGTACAGGAATCAGGGAAATATTTGCACTGAATCATGAGGAAATCAGATGGCACAAATAAAACTCCTGCAATACATTGTCAATATTTGACCATCTTTTACTGACATTGGAATAGATTTTTGACACTACTTTCTTTATTCAATTATATCAAAAATGGTTTTCCATCAGCCTTGCCAGTTACCACCAGAGGCCAAGTTTCTGAAGCAGAACTTAAAGTGAGATGGTTATGATAAAGGAAGAAGATTTCTGCTACCTTACATGAATTGTGGGATGCCCATAAATTCTACAGTGGCAGCTAGAAGTAGACACACATGGAAATTCCCCAATGAATTTGTGGGCAGAGGAATAAAAAGCTCAACCTTACATGGACATTGCCATTAATTTAGGGTTGCCAAGTCTGCTTCCAAAAAATAGCGGACAAGCGGGGGTGGGGGTGGGGGGTGGGGGGTTAAGTAGTAAAAAAATAAAAAAAAATTTTTACAATTAAATTATATATTTTCTTACAAACATTTTAACACGTATTAAAATAATCACTTCAAAACTTTACTTAAAATTCAAAACAGCAAATATATTATAATAATATGTGAAATATTAAATTACATTTTACTTTGCTGTGTTTTTTATTTGACTGCGCAGCTTTGATCAATTCTTTGTGTTTAAGGAATAATTCTTTAATTTCAGTACAACGTTGAGAAATATTAAAAAACATACAATCATAAAGCTTTTGAATAAAAATAATGTCCACTATTTTGTGAAAAAAAAATAGTGAACATAATGTGAAAAAAGCAGACTGTCCGCTCAAATAGTGGACACCTGGCAACCTTAGTTATGCTTTCTTGGTTGCAGTACACAAAGGGTACTGCAACCATTGCTTTCCTCCAGAATGTATTGCCACCATCTGAATTTAGCTTACAGGACTGATAGTTCCTGGCAATTGCCCATCCAAGTGCTAACCATGTCTGACTCTAATTAGCTCCAAAGCACCAATTGTGTTGCTTACCGGCACCTGCTCAGTATATAATGGACAACTGAGAACCCACCTGGAACTAAGGAAAAAATTCCTGACAGTAAGGATAACAGAATGACAGACTTGAAAGGGTCATGGAAGTCTTCTAATCTAAACCCAGTGATGGGATTCAGCCAGTTCGCACCACTTCGGGAGAACCGGTTGTTAACTTTCTGAGCAGTTTGGTGAACTGGTTATTGGAAGAAATCATTAGGGCAGAGAACCGGTTGTTAAATAACTTGAATCCCACCACTGTCTAAACCCCTGCTCAAGCAGGAGACCCTACACCCGTGATGGCAAACCTATGGCACGCGTGCCAGAGGTGGCACACAGCGCCCTCTCTGATGGCACGTGAGCAGTGGCCCCAGTTCAGCTCTGCTGCACATACATGTGCGCAGCTGGCAGCTGGTCTTCAAGTCTCTGCCACGCATGCTCGGGGGCAGGATGCGTGCGGGGGGCTGTGTGTGCATGCACATGGGGGTGGGATGCATGTGGGGCACATGCATGGGGTGGGGTGCATGCAGGGAGCCGTACACCCATGCACGGAGGCAGAATGCATACAGGGAGCCATGCGCACATGCACGGGGGTGGGGTGCATGCACGGGGGCCGCACACGCATTGGATTTTGGGAGTTTGGGTGTGTTAGCCATTACTGCCCTACACCATTTCATATAAATGGCTGTCCAATCTCTTAAAATGTCCAGTGATGGACAACTTCTCAAGGCAAGTCATTCCATTGATTGATTGTTCTATCAGGAATTTTCTTCTGATTTCTAGGGTGGTTCTCTCTTTAATGATCTTTCACCTGTTACTTCTTGTTGCTTTGGAAAATAGGTTGACCCCCTCTTCTCTGTGACAGCCTCCCAAATATTGGAAGACTGCTATCATGTCACTCCAATCCTTCTTTTTGCTGGACTAGTCACTATATTCCCAGTTCCTGCACCTGTTCATCATATGGTTGAATCTCCCAGTCCCTTAGTCATCTTTTTTGCTCTTCTCTGCACTCTTTCTTATACTGTGGTAACCAAAACTGGTCGTAGCATTCTAAGTGTGGCCTTACCAGTACAGTATAAAGCGGTACTAATAGATCACATGATCTTCATTCTATCCCTCTGTTAATGCAGCCTAGGATTGCATTGGCTTTTCTGGCAGCTGCAGCACACGGCTGGCTCATATTTAAGGGATTGTCCCCTAGGACTCCTAGACCCTCTCAGTTACTGCTGTTGAGCCAGGTACCACCTATTTTATATTTGGATTTTTTTTTTGCCTAAGTGTAAAACCTTACTTTTCTCACCACTGAATTGCATTTTGTTGGATGATGCCCAGTGTTCAAGTCTGTTAAGATCCTGAGTCTATCTTCCAAAATGTTGGCAAATCTCCCCCCCCCACTTGTTTGGGTGTCATTTGCAAATTTGATGAGTTCTCCTTCTATCCCTTCAACTAAATTACTTATGAAGATGTTGAAGATTACTGAGCCCAAGACTGAACCTTGAGATACCCCACTGCATGCTTCCCTCCAGGTAGATGTAGCTCCACACTACACACACTGAGTTTGCTTGTTAGCCAATTATTAATCCAGCCGACTCTATGATCACATGGTGATTGAAGGTGAGATGGGAGGTGTAGAAATGTGATAAATAAATAAAATAATGTGACCATCATATTGATTCTTTTGCTCCTTCACCCTTCTCCCATGCCTACTATTATTTGCTTCTCCTGCATGGTTTGTGGGAGACATAATTCTTTTTCCACCTTTGATTTAAAAGGATGGCCTTGTCCTTTCCCCCAGATCAACTGAAAGTTTAGTTATCTTGATCAGTATTTGATCAGTGCTTCTAACTTCATGAGTCTCATGATCTCTTTACACTTTTTATGTCTTGACAAAAATAAATAAAATGCTAGAATGTTTCCAAATTTCCTCCTTTTATGGGCATCAAGCCATTTCTTTCTTGAAAACTCACTTAAGAGTCACATCTGAGTCAGAAGGCAGATACATCAGAAATGGGGAACTGATGGGGTCCCTGAGCAACATGCTTGTGCTACCTGGAACATGCTTTATTTTTTTTTTTCCAAGGGGCAACTGGACTTGTTTTTCTTTGAAGATGTTTCGCTTCTCATCCAAGAAGCTTTTTCAGCTCTGACTGGATGGTGGGGAATAGAAGGATTTATACTCCTTGCAGACAGCTGGTCATTTGCATTCTTTTAGAGAGTTGTTGAGGCTCTTGGAGGTTTATCAGTGTCCTCAGGGTCACATGAGTGGTGCAAATGGGTGTGGAGCCTTCTTGGAACTGTCAAAAAGTTTGTGTTGTAGACTGGAGATAGATGATGTTGTAGCCCACCCCCTCTGTTGTGAAGGGTTGTTCAGTTTTGTCATAGATGGCCTCTTTGATCCCTCTTTCAAACCATCGGTCCTCTCCGTCCAAAATGTGGACTTTGCTGTCTTCAAAAGAGTGGCCTTTGTCTTTCAAATTCAGATGGACTGCTCAATCTTGTCCTGTTGGGTTTGTTCTCCTATGTTGTGCCATGTGTTTATGAAGTGGTTGTTTTGTTTCCCCAATATACAGATCTACACATAGCTCACTGCATTGTACTGCTTATAATGGATAATGACATGAAATCTTTCCATTCCCGACCATCCAATCAGAGCTGAAAAAGCTTCTTGGATAAGAAGTGAAACGTCTTCAAAGAAAAACAAAGTCCAGTTGCCTCTTGTGGGAAAAAAAGCACCTTTGGGACAACCATGTCCTGGATGACTGAGAATCTCCATATTTACTCTGAAACATTCTTATAGATTTTATGGCCCAACTGTTCAAATCAGTCTTAATCATTTATTTTTTTATGCCACCTTCATTATTTTTATAAATAACTCAAGGCGGCGAACATACCCAATACTCTATCCTTCCTCCTGTTTCCCCAGCACAACAACCCAGGGGTGGGTTGAGCTGAGAGGCAGCAACTGGCTCAGAGTCACCTAGGCAGCCTTCCTGCCGTTTCCCACCGTTCCCATGAAAATTGTAGGTAAGCACAACTGGCAAAGTGATGGGGCTATGTCACACAAACCCACACAGGGGAGGTTGGGGGGGGGGCTTGGTAATCAAGATTGGGGTGGCAGGCAGAGCAGCTGCTGCTTCCAGATAGCACACAAGAAGGCAGCATGACCACCCACTGAAATGAGGAAATGATGCCTGGGGCTTTTGATTCCTCTTTGGGCAGGGCAAGGGACTGTGTGTATTTTTTCTACACCTTTTCCTTAAAGGATGCATGGCAGCAAAAATCTCTCCCCCCTCCCCCCCTCTCTCATTCTCTGAAGGGGATGGCTTCACTGCTGGTCCAGAGTGGAGTTTGAATTGTGTGTGTGTGTGTGTGTTTCTAACCGAGAAAAGCCTCGGCGTCCGCTCTGCATCCTGCAGTGCTTGGCAAGGGCAGGCCCTGTGGAGGGGAGGGGCAGAGGGGCGGGCAAGGTGGGCCGGCCAGTGGCCCCTCCTCCCTGCCACTGCTGCGGCTGCTAAGACACCTGTCGGCCCAGGCAGGGCTCCAGAGCTCCTCTCCAGAGCAAGTCAGAAGGATGGGCAGCAGCAGGTTTCCTGTGGAGGTGAATGCTGTGGGCTTGCTGAAGCATGGCCGGCAGAAGGTAGTTTGGCCCTGAACCGAGTCGTGAGACACCCCCCCTGGTAATCTGCAGGAGGTCCTTGGGAAGCCTGGGCTTTTATGTGGCTTTTTGGTACTAATTTCCATTTTTCCACCTATTTTGAATGTTTTGAAATTTGGATGGCGTTGTAATGAAGTCTTTTCAGATGGTTTGGATCCGTGTTAATTGCCAGGGCTGGGGTGAGACATGCCATTTTTGGAGCCATTGTTGGCAACTGCAGTTTTTTTGGCCCGCTGCTCCAGCGCCAGCTGCTGTCTGTTCCTGCCTTGGCACACGGCTGTAACTGCCGTCAGAGCTTTCCAGGCTCACATTAGCCCACGAAGGCGAATTCTTTTCCAGCCAGTTTCCATCTTAGCATCTGAATGACAGGTTGGGTCATAGTGGTAACTCAGCCCTGGCAAGGTGGCAACTTTGGATACTTTGGACTTCTCTTTTGCTCCCTGGAAGATGCCTCAGTCACCCCCAAGGCTTAATCTGTTCTCCATTGCAACTAAGTTGCCTGCCTGTTATGACTAACATTGTATTCTTTTTATTTCTTTAAAATAAAAGAAATTGGTATTTCTTGGTAATTGACTTGAGTTCCACTTCTGCTAGAAAGAGAGCATTGTACGATTTAGATTAAAGTGGATTTTGTGTGTTTTTTTTCCCCAGACCAGCATGCTTTCTGTCTCCTGGTCTGACCAAACCCAGGTTCTCATTTACAGGACATTTGAAGAATTTAGGACCCTCCATGTAAGTTTAAGTTGAACCCGAGTTTGACCGTTTCCCTGCAGAGCTGGCCAAACAGCACAAGCTCATTTCTGGCTTTCTTTTCAGAAGGGGCTGAAGAGGAAATTCCCCATTGAGAGTGGCTTATTGAAAAAGTCCGACCGGACCCTCCCAAGATTTCGAGGTAAAAGGGAAGACTGGGCTTTTGTTGGGTTTTACCTTGAATTAGATGGGTGACACATCCTGCTCACCATCCTTGCTGCTCTCATCAACACTCAGGAAGATTGAGAGAGATACGTAATTTATGGCTGGACACCAGTGGCCAACTAAAATGGCAGCTCCCCTAAAATGGTAATGGAGGTGCTAAATCAGCAGCCCCTTGTTATAAACCACCCACACAGTAGCGCATTCATGTAAACTGAAACACGTGGTGGCTTCATGCAGAGGGGAGTAAATCTGGGGGGTGCATTTATTTGGCCTTTGGAGGCCACAGAATGTGTTGGGTACCTTATGATGTGGGCTTTAGGGGAGACTTGGAGGACAGAGGGGGAAAATGGGCACTTTAAGTTTTGCCGAAGTGTGCCTAATATTCTCTAGTAGAAAAAATACCATTTTAGTTTAAGGGATACATTAATTTAATAAGGCTTAAGACTCTTCAACTGTCCACTCCCAGGTCTACAAATGCAGGCTTTGTCTGGCCACAAAGATCACAACAGAGGGGCTGCTTTGGGCTCAGGGGAATTACAAATTAAAAACAGCTTCTTATCATCCCAGATCTCTGTTCTTTGTTCAGTCATGGGAAGAAAGATTTGTCAAATACAATATATAATTTAGTTTCATTCCCTCCTCCAAAGGAATGATTTTACAGCATTGATGCCCCTTTAAGTTCACAATGAAAAGGCCTGTTTGTGCTTTTCCACTCCTGCAGAATTCCACACTGCCAGGGTCTTCCAGAGTTGGACATTTCACCCCACACAAATTGTAGTGCTGCATGGAAGCATGCCCAGAGGGGGAACTCCTTCAGGTGTAATTCTCCCCTCCCCCTTCGCAGATGCCAATGCGATGCTGAGGAAGAATCAGAAGCTGAGCCGCTGCATGGAGACTCTGAGGCTGCTGGAGGTCTATTGCCAGGAGCTGCTAAAGACTCAAGCCAAAATCTCCCGAGGAGAAGACGTGGTTAAGTTTTTTGAAGCCCACGGCCAGGATCTGGAGCCCCCCTTTCCAGAAAACAGGTACATCTAAGAAAAGTGGTTTCTTAGGGAAGAGCAGGGAAGAAACATGCATTTCAGGAGGCTCAGTGGCATAACATTGAGTTCAAGCCACTCAAAGTGGAGTTTTCCAATAGTTCCTTTATTCTTGTGTGATTCAGACAAAAAGCAAGGCAAGCGTGCAATTAAGCTTAATTAGTTCTTTTATATTTGTACTTATACTTGTCTAATTTCAAAGTTATCTTACTACAATATGTTATGCCCACTCAAGTTGCTGTAAGCATTTGCTGCCCAACTAGGCATTCACACAATGCTCACTTACACTCTCAACACAGGTGATGTGTTAGAGCCTGCGTTAGAGTGGGCTGGGAAGCAGACTCGGGGCGTCCCCTTCATCCTGAACTTAGGGTCTGGGTTCAGCCTTCTCTTTATACCCAACACATTTATTCAGAATCCACGTGGATAGTACATCTTGCCCCATCCACGTCAGGAACTTTACACGCTCACTGTTTGTTCCAAGACTCCACTGATTTCCTCACATCCACCCTGCCTGGTATCACCAACGATAAATCACTCATACACACACTCAGAAACTTTCCTTACACACATTCCAGCAACATGAGTTTCCCAGGGAGTTCATGAAAAGGCTAACTATGGTTGCATTACAGGCCCTCTATGCTCATAACTTATATTTGTGATATATTTGTAACATATAACATAAAATACATTATACCAGTTGAAACATCAAATGATGTTGTGGTTTGAAGGCAGAATTACCGGCAGCCGTAGTTCAAGCCATGGCCCTGCTTTCATCTCCAGAATGCTTTCCTGGAGACCCAGAGACAAGTGGGGGGAGGGGGGGAAAACCCCTTGGCGTACACTTGACGTACAGTATTTGTTGCCTCCTGGGGAGAAGAAAAGTTGCCTCAGGTGAGGATTTCCCTGTCTTGGTGAACTCTGACTTCAGGCTTCATGGCTGTGAGGCCATGCAGTGGGGAGGTGCCTGACTCATCTTTGGGAGGCCTCCCTTAGGCAGGTAAGTCAGCTGGGAGATTTTGAACCAGCACAACCTACCTCACTCTTGCTGTGGGAAAAAGGGAAGGCCAGAGCATTATGCATACCCTTTGGATTTGTAAGAGAATAAAGGTGGGATGTAATAATAGTTGCAGATATGCCTCCTCCATAACTCTCCTCCATGCCCCAGGTTGCAAAGTACTTCATAACAAACCAAAAGCAAACCAATCAAATTATGCCTTTTTATGAAATACTTCCTTTTCATCACCCACCCTGAAGCAAAACTTATTGAACATGGAGAACAGCCCATTGTTTGGCTAGAGTTGTTATTCCAGGAGAGTTGGAAACAATTTGCATCTCTCTAAAATAGCTGGTATACACACACACGTGCACACACACACACACACAATTTTAGAGAAATGCAAATTGTTTCCGATTCTCCTGGAATAACAACTCTAGCCAAGCAATGGACTGTTCTCCATGTTCAATATGTTTTGCTCCAGGGTGGGTGATGAAAAGGAAGTATTTCATAAAAAGACAGGCAAAATCACCAACTCTGGTATCTCGGAGAGTGCTGGAGAAGGACCAGGGAGAACAGACTGCCAAGTATCCCCCCACCTCCAACCACCGAGAATAAGTACCTGGGAGTCAGGCAGCTACTTCTAATCCACAACCAAAGGTTGGGGTTGTACCTGAGGGGAAACTCAGATGCAAGCCACCTCAGAGGAAAGGCTAAGTACCCGAGAGCTGGTGTCCACATCAGCAGAGGAAAACAATTTGATTTCAGTTCTGCCATTACAAGAATAAGAGACAGGTGGAACAGACTCTCCTGCCAACTAGCTCTTTGTACTGTGAGACTCAGAAGTATGGACTTTGATTTCACCTGCTTTCCATAGACCACAGTAATTGGAATTCTTTCATGTTGGCTTCTTAGCTTTCCTTCGGTAGCTTCTTGGCAAAGGTTCCAGGATTTCTGCCAGCCTGCTTCAAATGGCTTCAATCCAACCTGCAGAGGAGAAAAATTCAACAAGAATTGTTTTCTGATATTCAGAAAAGATACAACAAAATAGCTTTAGGCTACACAACTTCATTACTTGGCTTCATTAAGGTTGAGAGGGCGGCTTTGTCATTCCAGAGGTTCTTCCATTGCTCTCTTCTGTGTCTGTGGGTGGCGGTGCCAAAGGTCACTGCCCCCCCCCCCCACTCATGCCAGCTGTCATTTTGACCCTAACATCCTGGACACTCTACTCTAATAGGCTGCCTCTCCAGGTGAGCTTGCAATAATAGCTGCTGTTATCTCCATAAAGTATCACTAAAACATCGGACTCACATAATTTGCATAATTTAACATAGTTCCAATATACATTTTAAAAACAACAACATCATAGTTTAGCAGAAGCAAAATGCATCAAAGCAATCTCTTCCAATCTGCATAGCATCTGGGGACGATAGTAGTCCGACCATCATCTGAAGGGCACTGGCTGCATCAGAAGTCAACTCTAACCATTGACTTGCTGGGAGTACAGCATTCAGATTTCATCATTTTAACTGTGCGCAATGCTAGATAGGACAGTAAAAGCTTTTGTTTCATCAGATGAAATGTTAATAAATCATCTGTTTGGCTGTGAATGTAAGTTATTTATTCAGATTTATTTTTTTTAGAAAATTTATATAGCTGCCCATGTTCCACACTTAAATGACATAATTTAGTTAATTGTAAACCAATTCATAGTTTACTCAACCAATTTATGAGGTTCACATGATACATAGGACAGAACTCTAGCTAAATACCTGGGTTGGATTTGCCCCACCTTGTGAGGATAAAATGTAGTTTAGCAAGTCATCCATCCTTTGAGGTGAAACTGAAGCCTTTTGTGATTTGCTGCACGTTGCTTAGCATGAATGCAAGAGCACTAAGTGCCCATGGGAGAAGCTCGCCCTACCACCACAATTGGGGCCAGGGCTGCTGTTGCTAACCAATGCAGTCGTAAAGTGCAACCGATTTGCTTAGCAACAGGAACCCAGGAAGTCCCGGTTGCCATCGTTAAGTGAATGCCAGGTCGTTAGACAAAGCTATTTCCTGCTGACTTCTCACAATGAAGCCAGTGGGACGTTACAAGCCCAGACGCTGCTGGGTAGGGAGGGAGGGAGGTTCGGGGCTGGGAGTTTGGCCAAGGGCCAGGTAGTGGCCAAGTGCCAGACAATTTGAGGATCCAGAGATGAGGATGAATGCAATAGGTAAGGAGATTTTAAGCTTTATTGTTGAACTGTAGCAGGCAAATTAAACAGAAACACGTCAAACAGGATGTTCTCCCTTCAACTCTGGGAGCCATTTTGACAACAGTGGAGATACTCCAAAGCCCTGGGAGCACAGCACAGAGGGCTCAACTTGTGCAGAAGATCAGAATTAAAAGAGAAATTTTATTAAAATTTGGCATCAAGATTTCATGCCCTGCTTCCAAATGTATAAATATAAGTGGTCCTCGACTTACAATCACAATAGAATTTTTTATTGGCCAAGTGTGATTGGACACACAAGGAATTTGTCTTGGTGCATATGCTCTCAGTGTACATAAAAGAAAAGATATGTTTGTCAAGAATCATAAGGTACAACACTTAATGACAGTCATAGGGTACAAATAAGCAATCAAATCATATTAGGAAACAGTCAATATAAATTGTAAGGATACAGTACAAGCAACAAGGTTACAGTCATACAGTCGTAAGTGGGAGGAGATGGCTGATTGGAACAAAATATGAACCAATTGCCAAGCATCTGAATTTTGATCATGTGGGGATGCTGCAAAAGTTGTAAGTGTGAAAAACAGTCATTTTTTCAGTGCTGTTGTAATTTTGAATGGCCACTAAATGAACTGTTATAAGTCAAGGACTACCTGTAATTGAATCGTGAGACTGCAAGATCTGATCTTTACTGGGTAACTCTGGGATGGGAAAGAAAAGTCAGAACTTCACAAGCTGTTTTCCTTTATTGGCAGAGATCGGGGATCTTCCCTGCCAACTTCCCCCGCTGACTGGCCAAGCACCCAGATGGCAATCAGGTGGCCGCAAGGGCCTCCCAAGCCCCTTCATTCAGCGCTGGGGTACTTTGAGCATTCGCTGAACGAAGAGTCATAAGCTGAGGACTGCCTGCAACGCTGTTACAAGCTTTAGGACTCTCTAGAAGAAACTGCGGTTGCAACATCTATTTGAATGTCATGACTTTCCTCTTGCAGCATTATCGTTTTGCCTTCTGAAATGGGAGACAGGAAGAAAGAGGCTCCCAGGGCTCCCATCCTGACCATCACACAGCCGGTCATCTCCCAGATGTACCAATGCGTTGCACCCTTTCGAACACAAGACACCCAGAACAAGCCCTTCGAAGCCACCAAGGCAGAAAAGCTGGAAGTGCTGATGAAGGACAGGACAGGTAGGGAGCCCCAAAAATGGGCCTTCCGGCAGAAACTGCGTGCCATGGCCCTGGCTGTATGTTGTCTGCGGTCACTCCTAAACCACGGTTCATTTGTTATCTATTTATATAATTTAATGAATTTATTTATATCTGCCTTTATTATTTGTAGAAGTAATTCAAAGGGGTAAACATCTCTAATACGCCTTCCTATTTTCCCCACAACCACCACTCTGTGAGCTGGGCTGGGCTGAGAGAGATTGACTGGCCCAAAGTCACCCAGCCAGCCGAAGGCGGCACTAGAACTCCCACTTCCCTGATGACTCAATTGGCTTTCTTCCTTTCTTTTTTTAATATTTATTTTTATTTTTATTTCTTATAAACTTATTTACATGTACAGTCATTTCCATCATTTTTCATTCATCTTTTCTTTTAACTTTCATTGTTCATTTTTGCTTTTTCGGGACTGCTCTTTTGCCTTTTACCTTTACTCCAACTTTTCTTCTTCTCCTCCCCTTCTCTTCCTTCCTCTCTCTTCTCCTACTTCCTTCGTTCTTTCTCTCCTTCTCTTTCCTACGTCCCTTTCTATTTCCCACTCCTCTCTTCTTCCCCCTTTCTATCCTTCTCCTCTGCTCCTCTTTCCCCTCCCTTTTCTTCCTCTCCTTTTCCCTTTCTTCTTTCTCCTCTCCTCTCCTCTCTTCTCCCTTCCTCTCTCTCTCTACTCCTTCCCCTCTCTCCTCGTTTCCCTTTTCAGTTCAATCTAAAGTAGTATTCGAGCAGCCTCGATTTTCTAATTATCTTTATTCTCATTTCAATTTCTTATTCAATTATTTATTTTTATTTCGTCATTTGCGTACATTTTTATAATATCTACACTTTTCCCTTTTACCCCCCCTCCCCTTTCTCCTTGACATCATCTGGATATCTATTTTTCTAATTGTTTTCTCCCATCTATCCTCTATTTATTTTATTTCTATATCCTTATTCATATTTCTTTTCTAACCAATCATAACATTTATCCCATGTCTTGAAATACATCGATTCCTCTTTATCTTCTCAATGTTAATCTATTCATTTCTGCACATTCTAAAATTTTCTTTATAATTTCTCCTTCCAACGGGATTTTATCTGCTTTCCAGTTTTGTGCAAATACAATTCTAGCTGCTGTTATTATATGAATAATCAAATATGTATCTTCTTTACTATATTTCTCTGGTACAATTCCCAATAAGAATATCTCTGGTTTTAACTCTATATGTTGCTGCAGCATTCCCTCTAACCATGTTTGTATTTTCATCCAATATTGTTTTGCTTCTTTACACAACCACCACATACAGTGGGGCAAAAAAGTATTTAGTCAGCCACCAATTGTGCAAGTTCTCCCACTTAAAAAGATGAGAGAGGCCTGTAATTGTCATCATAGGTAGACCTCAACTATGAGAGACAAAATGAGAAAACAAATCCAGACAATCACATTGTCTGATTTGGAAAGAATTTATTTGCAAATTATGATGGAAAATAAGTATTTGGTCAATATCAAAAGTTCATCTCAATACTTTGTTATATATCCTTTGTTGGCAATGACAGAGGTCAAACATTTTCTGTAGGTCTTCACAAGGTTGGCACACACTGTTGCTGGTATGTTGGCCCATTCCTCCATGCAGATCTCCTCTGGAGCAGTGATATTTTGGGGCTGTCACTGGGCAACACGGACTTTCAACTCCCTCCAAAGGTTTTCTATGCGGTTGAGATCTGGAGACTGGCTAGGCCACTCCAGGACCTTGAAATGCTTCTTACGAAGCCACTCCTTCATTGCCCGGGCGGTGTGTTTGGGATCATTGTCATGCTGAAAGACCCAGCCACGTTTCATCTTCGATGCCCTTGCTGATGGAAGGAGGTTTGCACTCAAAATCTCACGATACATGGCCCCATTCATTCTTTCCTGTACACGGATCAGTCGTCCTGGTCCCTTTGCAGAGAAACAGCCCCAAAGCATGATGTTGCCACCCCCATGCTTCACAGTAGTATGGTGTTCTTTGGATGCAACTCAGCATTCTCTCTCCTCCAAACATGACAAGTTGTGTTTCTACCAAACAGTTCTACTTTGGTTTCATCTGACCATATGACATTCTCCCAATCCTCTTCTGGATCATCCAAATACTCTCCAGCAAACTTCAGATGGGCCCGGACGTGTACTGGCTTAAGCAGGGGGACACATCTGACACTGCAGGATCTGAGTCCCTGGCGGCGTAATGTGTTACTGATGGTAGCCTTTGTTACGTTGGTCCCAGCTCTCTGCAAGTCATCCACTAGATCCCCCCGTGTAGTTTTTTTTTTTTTTTAAATTTGATTTATATGCCGCCCTTCTCCGGAGACTCAGGGCGGCTTACAATGTGTTAAGCAATAGCCTTCATTCTTTTGTATATTTATACAAAGTCAGCTTATTGCCCCCACAATCTGGGTCCTCATTTCACCTACCTTAGAAAGGATGGAAGGCTGAGTCAACCTTGAGCCTTGGCGAGATTCGAACCTGCAGTAATTGCAGGCAGCTGTTCTTAATAACAGGGTGCTTTAGACCACTGTACTACCAAGGGTCTAGTTCTGGGATTTTTGCTCACTGTTCTTGTGATCATTTTGACCCCACGGGGTGAGATCTTGCGTGGAGCCCCAGATCGAGGGAGATTATCAGTGGTCTTGTATGTCTTCCATTTTCTAATTATTGCTCCCACAGTTGATTTTGTCACACCAAGCTGCTTGCCTATTGCAGATTCAGTCTTCCCAGCCTGATGCAGGTCTACAATTTTGTTTCTGGTGTCCTTCCACAGCTCTTTGGTCTTCACCATAGTGGAGTGTGACTGTTTGAGGTTGTGGACAGGTGTCTTTTATACTGATAACAAGTTCAAACAGGTGCCATTAATACAGGTAATGAGTGGAGGACAGAGGAGCCTCTTAAAGAAGAAGTTACAAGTCTGTGAGAGCCAGAAATCTTGCTTGTTTGTAGGTGACCAAATACTTATTTTCCATCATAATTTGCAAATAAATTCTTTCCAAATCAGACAATGTGATTGTCTGGATTTGTTATCTCATTTTGTCTCTCATAGTTGAGGTCTACCTATGATAACAATTACAGGCCTCTCTCATCTTTTTAAGTGGGAGAACTTGCACAATTGGTGGCTGACTAAATACTTTTTTGCCCCACTGTATGATAGTATGATCCTGGCAACTGGTGACATTTCCAACACTTAGCTGATTTATCTTTAAACATCTTAGCTAATCTTTCTGGTGGCAATGCCATCTATAAAACATCTTATACAAATTTTCTTTATCGGCTGTTAATTTGTAGTTTCTTTCCCAAAATTGTTGCCATTTCTCCAATTCTATGGTGTATCCAAAATTCTTTGCCAATGCTATCATTGTTTCTTTTAGTTCTTCATCTTCTAGTCTAATACGCAGTAAATAATTATATAATTTCTTAATAATTTTCTCATCTGTTCCTGTCAATATTTTGTCCAGTTCTGATTTCCCTAAGTTAAAGCCATATTGTCTACGATCTGCTTCATATCTTGATTGTATTTGCAGTCTTGTATACCAATCTATCTCAGTCCCTTGACTCTCTAGTTCTTCTTTTTGTTTCAGTTCTCCCCGATCTGTCAAAATGTCTTTATATCTAACAATATTCCCCATGTTCACAATATTTGGGTATGTCACTGCTTCTATTGTAGAAAGCCACATTGGAATATTCAAATAATGTTTTTCTTTCACTCTCTCCCACACTGATAATAAACCATTTCTTACAGCCAGAGCCAGATTGTTGGGGGCAATATGCTATTTTGTATACTGTCTTTGGTGTAAGCTGTCCAGAGTCCTCGGAGAGTGGGCGGCATAGAAATATGAAAAATAAATAAATAAATAAATAAATAAATAAATAAAGTCTTTGAAATATCCATGTATCTTTGTTTCCCGTACCATAAAAAGGCATGCCAACCCAGTTGTAAATCATGACTCTCCAATGTCAATAGTCTTGTATTCCTTAATAAAATCCATTCTTTAATCCATGTTAACACTGCCGCTTGATAATACAATTCCCAATTCAGAAGGCCAAACCCACCTCTAATTCATGAATCTTGTAGCAGGAAAAGGAAATAAAAGGAATAAGAATAAAAAAAGAAGAATATAAACTACAAGCATTTGCGGATGATTTGGTGTTTATCATGGAAACCCAATAGAGACAGTGCCAAAACTATTAGAACAAATAGAAGAATATGGGAAAGTAGCAGGTCTGAAAATCAATAAAGATAAGACAAAAATATTAGTTAAAAATATAAGAGAAAAGCAAAAGAAGGAGATGATGGAGAAACTGGACATCCAAATTGTGAAGAAAGTGAAATATTTGGGCATCTGTCTGACATCAAGATGTGCAACGCTTAAGGAAGACAATTATCATAAACTGAAAAAACAAATTGAAAGAGACCTGGAGCAATGGAGAAACTTGCAATTATCACTAATGGGAAGAATAGCATTAATAAAAATGAATGTATTACCAAAGATATTATTTTTATTTCAAACTATGCCAATAAAACTGGAGAAAAAATATTTTGAAGAGTTGAAGAAAATAACGTGGAAATATGTGTGACAAAGAAAGAGAGCAAGGATCAACATAAAAATGCTACGAGATTCGAACGCTCAATTGGCTTCCATGCCTAAGGCTGGACTAGAACTCACCATCTTGCGCTTTAACAAAATTGGCTAGGTTTGCACAACAGTATGTCTTATAATCCCATACAGGCATAGTTTATAAACCACTTCTAAGCCACAAATCATGATTTACAAGCTACCCCTGGAAAGTTCGTACAACAGACTGAACCAAAACCAAACCAACCATATCATGCAGATGAATAAACCCAACCGAGGATAATAAGAACGATATTCTTGATCCAAGCCTGCTTCTGCAGCATACTCCTTAGATTAGCCAGATTTATTTTCATCCTGGGCTTCCTTACCTTGCAAAAAGCTGGGAGGGGTGCAAAACCTTTCAAATTTCTTGCAGAGAGTAGCTTTTCCAGGAATGTTTGCTGCTCAAGTGGTCTGGATGGACAGAGCAGGAGGAGTCAGAGCAGGGTTTCTCAACCTCGGTCACTTTAAACTGTGGACTTCAACTCCCAGAATTCCGCAGCTAGCCATGATGTTTGGGGAATTTTGGGAGTTGATGTCCACACAGCTTAAAGTGGTCAAGGTTGAGAAATCCTGGCTAGAGTGCCAATCCCTTTTCAGAATTCCCTGGGCTTTAGCAAACAACTCCCTTCCATTGGCTGCGAGGTGCTGAAAGAAACCCCCCCCCTCTTTTGAATTGGGCTCTTCGTGGCTCTGGCTTGTTTCTCTGGCAACAACAGAAGTAATTTGCCCCTGCTGTTTACGTAGTCTCCCATTTTAGTATTTTTTAAAAATATTTTTTAAATTCCTGCCTTTATTATTTTTATAAATCATTCCAGGCAGCAATCGTATCTCATCTTCCTTCCTCTTCTTCCTTTCCACCCCACCACAACCTTGTGAGGCAAATAACAGTAAGCAACAGTAACAGAATTGGAAGGGACTTTGGAGGTCATCTAGTCCAATTCCCTGCTCTTACATGAGACCTATACTATTTCTGATAAATGGCTGTCCAGTCTCTTAAAAGCCTTCAGTGATGGGGCACCTACAACTTTTGAGGGCAATTTTAATTGTTCTCACTGTTAGGAAATTTCTCTTTAGTTCTGTGTTGCTTCTCTCCTTGGTTAGTTTCCATCCGTTATTTCTTGTCCTGCCTTCAGGTACTTTGGTAAATAGGTTGACCTCCTCTTCTTTGGGACAGCCCTTCAAGAATTGGAAGATTGCTATCATGTCACCCCAGACCTTCTTTTCACTAGACTAAGTATACCTAGTTCCTGAAATCTTTCTTTGTATGTTTTAGGTTCTAGGCCCCTAATCATTTTTGTTGCTCTTCCCTGAACTCTTTCCAAAGTCTCAAAATCTTGTTTGTATTGGTGTGACCAAAACTGGATGCAGTATTCTAGGTGTGGTCTTACTAAAACTTTATAGAGTGGTATTAGTACCTCACTTCATCTTGATTGTATTCCTCTGTTAATGCAATTTAGGATTGCATTGGCTTTTTGGCTGCCGCTGCACACTCTTGGCTCATATTTTGACTGTCCACTAGGATTCCAAGATCCCTCTCACAGTTACTAGTGTTGAGCCAGGTTTCACCTAGTCTGTACCTGTACTTTTTATTTTTCTTACCTAAGTTTAAGACCTTGCTTTTCTGTACATTAAATTTCATTTTGTTAGATAGGGCCCAGTGTTCAAATCTGTCGAGATCCAGCTGGATCTTGAGCCTATCATCCTGGGTCTTGGCTCTTCCTGCCAGCTAGATGTCATCTACAAATCTGATGAGTTCTCCTTCTGTTCCCTCATCTAAATCGTTTATGAAGATGTTGAAGAATACTGGGCCTAATACAGAACCTTGTTCTGTATTATGAAGCCCCCAGTATCCCAGGTCAACTGAAGGAAAACTTTGGAAGCACCTCAATGCAAATGGAGGGAATCATTTGCTGAGGCCCAGGAGAGGCCCAGATCCAAGCCTAGCTGGCCGTTCACCAGGCCGTGTCAATAGGCCTTCTCCCCTGACCTGCTTTTAAGGTCCAATTATGGCTCTCAAAGGAAGCTAAGTGCCTTTGGGTGGGAATAGAAGATCGATGCCAATTTGCAATTCCTCTATGCCCGCATGTCTATCTTTTCCCCCAAAGAATGCCAGGGAGCACCCAGCTCATTTCTTGACCCCTCCATGATCTTTTGTTTTAGGATGGTGGCTAGTGGAAAACAACCGAAAGCAAATTGCCTGGTTCCCAGCTCCGTACCTGGAGGACAACAAAGAAATGCCCATCATGGAAGAAAACGACGAGGAAGGTGAATCCTAACTGCCCCCCTAACTCTTTCTTACAGATCAGCATTTTCCAAACATTATAACTTTATAGCTTATTAACTTTATAACTTCAACTCCCTTTGGGTCCTTCTGGGAGCCAAAGTCCACATATCTTAAAGTTGCTAAGATTGGAAAATACTATTGTAGTACAGAGATAATGGCATTAAATCGTGCAGATCCAACTATTTTTTTCTGTTTCTAAAGGCTGTGGAGTCAATCCACAGCCAGAGTTTCAACTCAGGAATTGGTGTTGTGTTCTGGTGGTCCCAGTGTCCCTGCAGACACTTCAGTCTGTTTTAGATTATTTTACTTTTTTAAAAGGAATGTTATTTGGCAAGAAAGTTCACATGAGCCCACTGGCATTTTTACAATATGGGCAGTCCTTGGCTTATGACTGTTTCTTTAAAGACAGTTCAAAGTTACAAGGTCTTGGAAAAAGTGACTTGCGACCTGTACTAGCGCCACTCTGCAAGTACTGGCTCACAATTCAGCCACTTGATGACCAGCTCACATTTGTGACTGGTTGTGGTTACATGACTGCAATGTGCAATCTTTTTTGCAAATTTTTGGCAAAAAATGCCCATGGAGGAAGCTGGATGCACTTAATGATTGCTGTAAAAATTGTCGTAAAATCAGGTCTGTCTCAACTTACAACTGCAACGATTTACAGTGGAAATTCCAATCCCGGTTGTGGTTGGAAGTCAAGGACTATTTATATTACACTCAAAATAGATTCAAGGACTAGTTGGCCACTTCTAGCACTTTTTTGTGAAAAGAAAAACATCTCACAGCATATCCCACTTTGTGACAGCAGAATTCTCAAAATACCGAAAGCGCCCATTGCCTCAAACAATTGCCTATCTAAGTAGAAGCTGTTTCCTGAGTTAATGTCTCTTGTTTTGAAGCTGGATGGGAACTGGCATGCAGCTGCTTTGTAATAAGAGAGAAAGTGGCGTCTTTGCACTCACACTTCTTCTTTCCTTATTCTGCCAGGGATGCTATATTATGTCACCCAGGCCTACAGAGCCAAGCAACCAGATGAACTCTCCCTTGAGTTTGGGATTGTGGTGGAAGTGCTGGAGAAAACAGACAGTGGCTGGTGGCTGGTTTGGTAAGCCAGGAGGTGGGCTGGGCTGTGGGGGAGGAACTCAGTTTGTGCATACCAATGTGGCACTGGTCAGTTTCTGCCCACAGACCATGACATGGTGTCTACTGGTTGTTGAAAGCCTGATAAAAAATACCGAATACTGCATTATACTTGCTTCCTTGAAAGATTAATAGACAAAATCTTGGGATCTCTTAACATCAGGAAGATCTGGTAGCACCTTTTCAGATTAACAAATGTGATGAAGAGATTGCCTTTCCTGAGTTAGAGTTCACTTGGTCAGAAACAATGGAATGATTAGACATGAATTCTGTGGAGGTCCTGTGAGTGCCGTGTTTCTTGTTGGGCTGGGTTGGATTTCAAGGACAATCAGTGACGCATCCTGGAAGAACGAAAGCTTGCAATCAGGGAGGCAGGCCTAGCAAAGGCCTCTGAGGAGCTGGGAAAGGTTACCTAAGATCCTCCACAGGTTGATCAGCTCTTAGCCGTAGCATGATTTGTGTTGAGGAATGAGGGGAATTATGATCCATTGGAACTGGAGTCTCCAACAATGGCTGTTGCCCCCTTTCTTGCTTTCTCCTCTTTGGGGAACAGCATCCAAATCTCTGTGGAGCTAAAGGAGAGTTCAAAATTTCTTCCAAAATTCTCCGTATGCAGAAATTCTTTCCCAAAAGTAGAAATTTTGCAAGAGAGTTAATATTAGAAATCAGCTTTTATTGAAGAGATTGGGGAAGTCCGTCTTCCCACAATGCCATGGATCCAGTTCTGTAGTTGTTGAGAAGCGGCAAACTTAGATGTTACTGCTGACCCAACAAAAAGGAATTCCCTCTGTGTTGTGTTGGGTTAGGCTAATCAAGCAGACCGTGTCATGGAGCTGAAGTGATGCCCTCTCCTCTTGACCTGTCCCCTTTTTGGCTTTCCAGGTACAATGGAACCACAGGCATTGTTCCTTCCATGTTTCTCCAGCCATACAGAAACCCACTTAGCAAATTCCTGGCTCTTGCCTCTCCCTCCTTATGCAGCTCCTTGCCAAACCTCACTGAAGCCCCCAGTCTCAGCAGCAAGAATTGTGCAGTCCAGCAAAAGGGGAATCAGGTTTATCTCAGCCAGAAGATGCAAAGCAAAGACACTGGCTCACTCGAGGGCAAAGGCATTCGTTCTCCAAGTATAAGATCCACCTCAGGAAATTCCAGTCCAGCCTCTGGGAAAGAGAATTGGTCCAGCAGCTCCGGGAACATGAGTGACCAAGGATTCTGTGGTCCCTGTGATCCTGAGGTCCACATTGTCTTCACAGAGACCCTTCTACAGACATCTGGCAACCCAGGAAAAGCCTCCTTAAGCCAGCAGCAGAACAATTCGGGCTTTGAAGAGGAATCTTCTGGAGACCCTGTCCATTTGCTTCCTTCCTCTGGTATGGGCTCCTTGCCTAGTTGGCCCATTGTGCCCCCACGCCCCTCCCCTCATGAAATCCTCCAGAAATGCAGCAGCCTAACCAGAAGGGCTCTGCAGAGATCTCTGGAGCAGCCCAACTGCAAAGGTGCCATCTGACATCATTGGACTCTGAGGTTTATTAATGTACAAAATACCTGTTGTGTGTGGAAGGAATCACTCAGTTCCTTATGCAGGGTTAGAATTGGGATATCCTTCTAGTCAGACTGAAGCGGCTCAAGGGATGATGTTCTTCCACAGAGGGACACACCTCCATTTTCCTAAAGAGAGATCAAGTTGAAAGCACCACTTCAAGAGCTTTTATCTTGGAGTCAATCCCTTGGAAGGGAAAGGAGGGTACATTTTTCACCAGGTTGGGTGACATCACCTCCTGCAATTGAGGCACCATTTGGCCATGCTGGATGGAGCACCGAGAATATTTTGTGAAGGACTTAACCCAATCCTGCCTGAACAAGAGAGACAGGCAGGTAGAACTAAGGCCCACGTGGCCCTTTGAAGCTAATAGTCCTACCTTCTACTCAACTATCAACACTCATGAGTTGTTGACTGCCGTATCCAAGTTGGGGTCTACAGTAGATATTTATTTAATAATATAATATACTGGAATGGACACATTTTAATACTTTTAGGTATTCCTTATTAAGTACCTGATTTCTATCTAGAGGCTTGAGGGTTATTAGACTATACAAATATGAATTAATAAAATGGCATGTAATTAATATGCTGTACTTTCAAATTCCAAGCAATCTGCCTGTGAAAAATAAAATTACTTAGTTTGCAATTTCTTTGGAAAGTCTCTTCCCATTTTTTAAAAAAAAGTTCAACATGTTGCATTTCACAGAACCTTTCCTCACTTCTCTCACTTGCAGAATAAAAATTCCCGTTATGGGGAACAACTTCATCCACTCATGAACGTAACAGGGTATGTATTAAATTTGGAAATTAGTGCGCAACTCACTGCTAGACATCTAAATTTAAATAAGCAAATAAAGCACATAAAGCACATAAAGCAGCTGGGTTGCTTATTTTTTATTTATTTCTTAAATTTGTTTGCCACCCATCCCATTTTTACAGTATGCTATCCAGATAATAATCATGGGCACTAGAGTCACTGAATTTGATGGGGTAAGCCTGGCAGGTCTGCTGTGATTGCTTACAATCTGTGTGGTGGGTGGTACTCTTTCTTACTCTGCTCTGTCATCCTAATGTCCAACAGTTTTAATGTTTGTAAGCTGCTCAAAGGGAGGCACATAAATCTACTACATTAATAAATAAAACAGCCCTTTGAGGTAGTCCAGATCAGCAAACAGACTCCGGAAGGACTATTGGAACTATCCTTTAATAACGCAACTCTGAAAGTCTGAGCAAGATGTTCTCTCCCCACCCCCTTCTTATAGCAACGAGAATCCAAGTGAGGAATCTGGAGTTTCTTCCTCACTTCATCCTGTTTTGGGGCTAAACTGGTGTTAAGCTAAAGGTTGCTGCATCCCTACTGTGATGCACTCTGCAAGCTCCTATTCATCACAGCTGCAAGAGATGGGAAGCAGGTACTGCAAGACAAAACCCTTCGCCTGTATCCCAATCTGCTTCATCTCGCCCAAAGCTTACAACCATCCCTGAGGAAAGTCAGACCAGCAGAGACTTTGCTGTCCTCTTGGATCTCCAAACTCTCCTTCCTGCCTTTATGGCCATGACATCTTCCTGCAGAAGCGAGACCTAATTCATGCATTCTACTGGATTATCATTTGGTTTGTTTGGTTTAGCCTCAACATGTTGTTCCAACCATATCAACTGTGGCTTGTTCAATCATCTATGGTGAAGAGCAACCAGGGCTCACCAAGCTTGGTGAACTAAACCATGCCGTCCACCACCCTCCCAAAAGGTGACTGTGAAAGTATGTAGATTAGTTCATCTGTGAAAGATCAGTATTGTTAAGGAATTAAGTGTGTTATTTTTTAAAAGACACTGGGGTGGAGAACTTGTATGGCCCAGCAAATGAGAGACAAGTTTATTTATACAAATAAGTATGTATTTATTATATATTTATTATATAAAGCATTCTTTAAAACATTGTTGGTGAGGGAGTGTCAAACTGTTTAGGGATGTGGACAAGTACTGGCAGATGAGCTTCAGCCGTCATGTCTCCATCTCTTCGTCCCACCTGGGAGCCTCAGCCAACCTCATGTTTTGCCACATGAAATCAAGGAACATGGAGGCCTGGAGTAGCCGGCCCAGCCTCTGGAAGTGGCGTTCTGCAAAGAGGAAAAAGGAAATGAAAACTAAGGAGGCAGGCAAGGGCAGCTGTCCTTGGTAATGGTTGGTTACCTACTCAGCCTCACTGGAAGTTGGTGGTTTTTAAGGCTGGGACCAAATTTACCACATTCTTTCATGGGAAGATTGCTTCCCTCCCCTTTGATAACATGCCGTGAAAGGCAATGTCAAGTGTAGTTAAGGCAATGCTCTCAGTGGTGGCGGCATTAAGGAGGCTTGGCTACCTCCATGAGTGACAAGAGGTAGGAAATGTGGCTGCCAGATGACAGTCCAGTCTCTTCTTGAAAGCTTCCAGGGATGAACCTCAACTTCTGAAGGCAACTTCTGTTCCAATAGTTGATTGTTCTCACTGTCAGAAAATTCCTCCTTATTTCCAGGTTGAATCTCTCCTTGATCAGTTTCCATCCATTGTTCCTGGTCTGGCCTTCAGGTGCTTTGGAAAATAGCTTGCCCCCCCCAATCTCTGTGTGGCAGCCCCTCAAGTATTGGAAGGCTGCTATCATGTGTCCCCTGGTCCTTCTCTTCACTAAACTAGCCATGCCCAGTTCTTGCAACCATTCTTCATATGTTTTAGTCTCCAGCCCCCTAATCATCTTTCTTTAGGACAATTGGGCTGACCTTTTACCTTTTGCAAGGTAGCCTACAACAATTCTTGGCATTGGAGCACAGGGGTCAACCCATTTAAGATGGCCTCTGGTCAGAATTTTGTAGCTATGCCAGAGCTGCCCCAAGAAAAACAAGAAATACCTTCCCTAATGGACTGGACAGCACAACTCCAGAGCACTTGGCCAGTAGCCCGTAAGGCACTGGAAGATGCACATCAGGCACAATAGAAACAAGCCGACAAAAAACCGTGTGAAGCCAAAAGATTTTAAAGAGGGTGATAGAGTTTACCGCTTCTTGAAATATTTAGTCCATCCAACAGTTGAAGAAACTGGGACCTAAATATGTGGGGCCATTCCCCATTGTTAAGGTAATTAATCCAGTCCCTATGCATTGGAGTTGCCTAAGAATCTCAGCGTATTCACCTGGGTTTCACTGCAGCTTGTTGAAACCTGAAACTGTGACGCCTCTTTGCCCTGCATCTGATGCCTCTCCTGGGCCAATTTTAACTGAAGGAGAGAAAGCAGCACTTTGAAATTAAGGAAATTCTGGATTCAAGGAAACATAGAGGCAGGCCCCAATAACTAGCTGTGGGGAAACATTTTCCCTCTGCACAGTCCAAACGGACTCTAAACATGTCTGAGCTCCTAAACTCCTCCAAAACTTTCACCGACCGTGCCCTGAAAGCCCTGAATGTGTCAATGTCCTTCTGTGCTGATGTGTTATTTTGTTCTGTGTATTTTGTGTTTTTCTTTCTTGTAGGGCTGAAGCCCTGTGACGGGAGGGGGGGAGGGGCACGGATGTCAGCTTCCTTCTTCACTTGCTTGCTGTCAGCTGCCATGGGAAGGGGAGGGGGGGAGCGATGGGCACGTGTGTGGGGGGGGGGAAGCGTGAAGGAGGAGACCGTGGAAATTTTTCATGAGGCTTTGCAATGGCCAGCTTGGACTTTGCTTATCTGTCCAAGACCATTTCTTTAAGCTCTGGTATGCAGCAGCCAGAGACGATGCACCTGAATCAAAGACTTTTGGCCATTGTTTGAACTCTGGTTGCCTAGTTACAAGGTTGGGGGGGGCTCTTGGGGTTGTTTCATGTGGTTTTGCCTCAGATCTTGCCTGGATTAACTGCAGTAAAAATACTTTTGCCTGGATTAACTGCAGTAAAAAAAAGTCCCTTTTCTCTAAATCTATGGACTGAAGGGTTTTCTTTCCTAGGATTTGAGTTGAGGCAGACCTGACAACTCTGCAACCACAATATTTTTCCTGTAGGAAATCTACTATAACCAAGAGAAACAGAGGGCACTTGAAGCAGAGGGCAAAAATAAATATACTGGTGCATTGTAGAAGACATAGCTGTCTCTTGTCAATATCTGAACTCAATTTTTCCAACAAGGAGCAACGTGAAGAATTGTCGATCAAATTTCTGTTCCATGATCACATATTTCTAGGCAATTTCTTATTTAGCACATAATTATTTAGATCCTATGAGGTAATAGTTTGAATTGATAAAATATGCATGGCTTCAGTTGCATGGTCAAAGTCACTGTTCTAGCTTCTTTAGCACACACACACACACAGGTGTGGCTGTCCCTGCATCATCTTTCTTCATTTATATCCTTCAGATGTGTTGGACCCATAATATCTTCCAGCCTTTGCTGAACCAGCTGAGGATTAAGACAAATGCAGTTATTTGGGAATCTTTTCCAAGGCTGAGAAAAAAAAACCCTCAGCAGAGAAACATTTAGTTTCACATTCAAAGCAACAGAAGAAGATGCTGCAGGCCCACCAGGAAAATTGGAATTTACATAATTACTCTGATCACATAATAATGAAACACCCTAATCTTTGCTTTCTTGGACCGAGCTCAGTCCCCAAGCTGCCCTCTAATGGCCTGGGAATTTCCCTTTTGCCTGGAGCTACAGGAAGTGTGTGGGGGCGGGCGGGGTGCTTGGGTCTAGAGAAGACTACATGGAGGGATTTTTCTGCCTTGATGAGGCCTTCCTGGAAGGATCAGAACCCATCTATACTCTAAGGCCCCTTTTGGCCTCTGAGGAGCTCACACTCGCACACACACACACACCCTGAAACCAGGTTCATGATGATGCAGGAACTAATTTCTGCCTGGCAGAAAAAGCTGATTTGCATCGAGTCTCACTGAGCAGCCGGATGATGTAAGAGGAAATCAGGACCCGCCCACTGAAAATTTTCTTGACCTGAAAGGCTGAAAATGGGGCTGGGGGGCAGGGTCATTGTCCTACATATATTGTTTGCTTCAGATTCAGACAATATAAGGTACCCGGGTGTCAGGCCCCACTTTGAAGGTGAGCCACGATAGGCTGAAAAGTAGAAACGTGATGAAGAGCCCAGACCTGCAGACCAATCAGAGTTGTTAGCTTGTGATAAGGCTGTCACTAAAAACTGAGCCTGAGCACACAAGAACTTGTGTGTATTTCCCAAAATATCAAATGTACATTTCAACTGTTAAAGTCAAAGCCATTTAATCCTATTTAAGAGCAGATTTCTTGGAGAAACAAGGGCCACCATTTACTGATGAAGTTGGAAGAAGAGCTACTTGCCTGTGTATGGCAGGAGAGACTCCACCGCAGTTTTGATCCCTTCATACTTCAAGAGATCCTCTGGATTCTCGTGCTTGAGGAGGATTTCCACCACTGCCTGGGCTTCGTGGCAGTTCCGTGTGTTGGTGTTCCACGTGATGGAAAACTTCAGAACTGCCTCTGGGGAAAAAAGCACAAGAAAGACACATTAGCAATGAGGGGCCGCTGAATTCATACTTACCCTGTTAAGGGTTGTGAGATTAGATGCCTCTTACCTGCCTGCTTTATTAAACAAACTAACAAACAAACATGGCCAGTTAACTCATACAAGATGATTCCAGGCAGCTTACCATATGAACA